TCTGTTTTTAATTTTCATTTCATTTTTTTATTTTCTTCTTCTTCTTCTTCTTTCTTTTTTTTTTTAATTCCATTTCTGTCGATCTATATCCGGCCGGCAAGCCCTGTTCGTTATTGTCCCAAAAAATGCCGTCGATGCGTTTTCATAAAAGTTCGCCGAATGTTTTATCGAACATGGAAACATCCTCCCCAACCCTCGTCACGCTCGTATTCCGCTCGAAATTTAGATTTTTGAGGCTTTCAACGGCGCGGAAGTTAATCCTGTATCTCGGAGGCTTTCCTCCCGTGAAAAGCATCCCCCCACCCCTGTTTCCAAGTGTGACGATGTTTCATCAACGGTGCAGCTTCATCAGCTTCTGACGACAGGGTGATGCATTAGTATCAGTATCAGTAGTTTGGTATCAGTGTGTCATCAGAGACTTGATGAAGCTATATGGTCGCAGCGTTCCTATGGAACAGCGTTGTCGCAACACCGTGTTCTAAAAAGGTGCAACTGGCATCACGGTGTCCGAGAATTAGCCGTAGTGCTCTAGTATTTTTTTTTTCTCCTCCCCCTCTCTTGTTTCTTTTTTATATTCCCGGAAATTGCAGAGATTTCGCTTCGCCGTCGTAGCGAATTTTCATCCCTGCGATATTCCTCCCGATACGAATTTCTATTTATCTCTTACGTGACGTTTCGACGAAATTTACGAAAATAACGACTCGTAAATATCGAATTTCCAGGGATCGATCGTCACGTAAAAAAAAAAAAAAAAAAAAAAAAAGAAGAAGAAAAAGAGAAAAAGAGATAAAAGATATTCCATGGACAAACGCTTTAAATACGCTCTCATCATCGGCATATATGTTTTAGATTTCACCTCGGTTTATGCTGTTTGCTCAGATATGAAGCGGTAGCGGAACAGTTTCGCTCGAACAAACATACACCGCGTGTATGTTAAATGTGACTATACTCGTATACACATCATATACGAGTATATCGAATCTGTTTAGACGCATTGCATTTCGAGATTAAATCGGCTCTCGGATATCCCGAAATTCTTGTTCGCATCCCAACCTTCGCCCCTTGAATCTGAAACAAAGTTTATAAATATCACACGTGAAATTAATCTCGAGAATTAACTTTTAAACCTGACCTCCTCCTCCTCCTCCTCCTATTCGAAAAATATAAATAATTCAACGGTTTTTCTCTCATCCGTTGGAAAGGTGGAGGGGGTAGATTCGGGTCAAGTATTCGGGGGGGGAGGAGGGGGATCGATACCGAATCGATCGAAGCTTGCCAAATTGTCGAATAAACGTATGAAGAATAGGCGAGGCGCGAGGAAGGAGCCGGCGGCGTCGCTTTCGAACCGGAACTTCCGCCGCCCCACCTATGAAATTTCCATCGAAAATGGCGCTCTCGAGCCCGACTGTCTGAAATTATTGAAGGCCGTCCCCTCCTCCGCGACGAGAAAAACTGCTCGGCACGTCCGAAATCGAAAGGCGACCGATGTGGATAACGTTAACGCGGGTAAAAGCTGCGGGATATCGCGAGCGCATTCGAATAGGAGAAAAGTGCAAAGGAGGGAAGCGCGTCCCCCTCTCCCCCTCCTGGTTTCTATGCAAATTTTCCCCGAGAAGGGGAAAGGGAAGGGAGGTGAAACCGAATCGGGACACGATATTTCCCGAATTTTTCTTTCGATTTCGAAACGTTTTTTTTTTTTTTTTTTNTTTTTTTTTTTTTTTTTTTTTTCCCCCCCGTTCTCGAATTTCCCCGTTTTAATGCGCCGATGTTAATCTTTTCCCCGGGATGAATATGCATCTAGTGTATACGTGTCTAGATTAATCGATAACAGGATACAAGAATACGCGCGTGTGCGTGTACTCTACGTAATGCTCTTTCCAAACTTTTGCACATTTTTTTCTGGCTTTCGTATTCCGTTAGTCGAGTATTATTATTATTATTTTTTTTTTCTCAAATTCGAACATCGAATATAAACGATATCTCTATCTCTCGCTCGCGTTTTCAAACACGATGAAATCTATCCGATTTCGGAAATTTCAGAGTTTAAATAATCGAACGATTCGGTAAATTAACAGTAAGAATCTTCGTTCGGGAAGGTTTTAAAATTTTCTCAACTCCAAGCTGAGAATAACGTTTTAGTTACTCTTCGTCGGATTGCTTGAACAATTTATCGTGCGGTTTAACCGGTTAACACCGAACGTTACCACCGAGGTCGCGCCAAGAGGTTGTTAGCTGTAAGTAGCTACGAGCAAATAATTATTGACGACGTTTTAATTAATGTCCACACCTGTGGAACATATCTTGTTAATAATCTCTTATTAATAATCTTATACGGTCATCACGATAACCGTTCGAGTAGGTCCATCGAAGATGGAGAAGGGGAGTGATATCGGTTTCAAAAGTCGTTGCGTGGAAGGTGGTGGCAAAGTGGTGCATAATCCTGGGGACGTGGAACGGGTAATTATTAGCGGGGAATATCGGTCGCGCAGGTTTTGGAATATCCGACGATCGAACGGCTATGTATATATATATATACATATCGATTCGGGCAGGAATCGGCAAGTCTCGGGAATATCGAGAAAGTTTTAACGGTCCTTCATTAGCGAAAATAGTTTTGGGGGGCGAGATGGCGTTCAACGGAACGGTGAGACATTGCTAATTCGAAGCCGACGGTCGTGGAATAGTTGCAGCTGTTCGATTTTCTTTCGTGACAATAATAACCGGCTAACTGGCTGATCAACGCGGTGATATATAGGGAAGCGAAGTGAAATTCGATTATAGCGCGAATTTGGACTCGTTCGCGAGCGAAATTCTTCCCGTTACGTTACTCCTAAGAAACGCGTCGATCAACTTCACAACTTGTGCTGAAAGTGGATCTGTCTGCTTCTAGTTGCGGCGCGTAGAAGAGGACAAAGCCGCGTAAGGAGCTCTGGCTTCCGTGGACAGCTCTGGCGTAAGTGACTATACCAGTGGCTTTCCTCTTTTTCAAAGATCGATCAATGGTTACACGGGTTGGATTAAACGGACAACGAAATATATCCATGTCGTAACGACAGACGTGTTGTCCTCGTAACTCGAAAGAAGCATCTTTATCTTTTCGTAAAGAGGATCAACGGGATCCGAGAAATCAACGTGGCTCGTCTTCGCGTCTGGTCTGCAAACGCTTTATCTTTCCTCCAGGCCGGTTGATTTTTTCTATCGCTCCTCGGCAACGCGACGTTTCTTTCTCCCCGAGACGAGATTCTCCGCCCTCGTTCGCCACCCTTTCTCCATTCTCTCTTCGCTTCTTCTCCCTCTCACCACGCCCATCCTGTCGTCGTTTGCATAAAGTGAACTATCCGCGCTTTTAATACACGCAAATGAAGTTACGCTCCGGAACTAATCATATTTGCATGCGGAACGGGCGATCTCCTTTGAGCCCTTGTCGCACTTATTACTACGATTAAGTCGACGAAGAAACGTTTTACGACGGAAAGACGGCCGGCATGGTAAATGCTCCATCGATCGAAGCGTTTTCGTTTTGTTTTCGATATATATAGGAGGTAATTGGCTCGAGATCGGACTGACCACGCCGTTCACACCTATATCACTCGTGATTTTTTGTTACGACAATTTACGATACGATATTGATTATCTCGAAGAGAATTTAATATAGAAAAAAAAAAATTCCCGAAACTTTTCAAATTTTCACGAGAAATTGAGAAATTTCGCCCCAGATTTCCTAGAACGTGCGAAACTTTCGAGGAAGAAGAGGAGGAGGAGGAGGAGGAGGAGGAGGAGGAGAGATACACCGCTCGATTCGTCACGTTCGAGCGCGAGGCGATCAAATAATTCAGATTGGAATCCACGGAATCGCGGCTCGATCGAAAGATTTTCAATTAAGCGAAGGAACAAAGTTTCGTTTTATCGATGATGGCGGTGGTCCTCGCGAGTCGCGCCTCCACGACACAGGATTACGCTATTACACGTTAATGAGAGCGGGCCTTCCGCGCACAAGATACGTACGAATGAAAGATAAACGCCATCTCTCCTCCCGAGACACTGTTTGCAGAGCACTCGTTGTACGTTACTTGAGAAGTTTCCGCAACTACCGCCGAAACGATATTCTTGCCGGGGCTTGCCGCGGAAACTTTCGATGAAACGTGACATTTTGTCGTTCCTCCGCAATCATGCTTAATTAATTATCGATCGCCGCCTCCTCCCCCTCTCCGCCACTTGATAAACGCCTTTTCTTATCTCCAATTTCGATTAGCAAACCGAGAGAGAGAGAGACGAAGGGGGGGAGGAGTTCCGTTCGATTCGAATCAGATTTTCCTTTTTTTTGAATTTTCGTCCATCGATCGATCGATTTCGACACCATCGATGGATCGTTTCGAATTTCCTTGAAATTTGGCCAGCACGCGGGAATACAAGGCAGGCCAACGTATTTATCCCCCGCCGCAACGAACGCCGCATTTCGGTCACGCACGATCGAGTATTATCGTCGTCATTGTCGTCGTGTGTATCGACCGTAGAGGAGCATACGGCTGTAATCGTAATCTGGAACACCGCTTACGGAATATCGCGAGCGTTGTGCATCGAGATCGTACACGTCGATAAGGGATAAGCACGCTCTAAGGGAACCGTTGAGATCCAACGATCCCGTTTCCACGATACGTCGCGTCGCGAATCCAATTAAAGATTCTCGATCACGGATTATTCGCCCATGCGAGGCTGATTTATATGTATATACAGCTCTTTGTATTTTTGTATCGATTAACGAGCGATCTAACACGAATCGAATTCAACCAACAATTTACATCTCAATTTAAGGAAACGAATCCGTCCGCGAGCGATCCCCCCTCCGATTAAACGCTGCTAATAACTAACCGTTACTAACCCTCTTCTTTTCTCTTCTTTCCAGATTCTCTGTAAACTATCATCCCAAAAAAAAAAAAAAAAAAAAAAAGACTAACACGCTTCGCCCAAGCAACTAACAAGCATCGAAATGCGATCGGTCTAGGAAAGCGAAGGAAACTATCGTCCCTCCTCCCCCTGAAGCGAAGGTCGTCGAGTCGAGCGGCACGGGGCGGGTGGTCGCACGGTGCTCGAATCATGCGAATTCCTGAAAATGCGCAGGACGAGCAGCAACGGTTTGAAGCTCGACCTGACGGAGAACACGCCAGGTAGCTCGTTGTCGAGGCTGCCCAACTTGGTCGAGCATGCGGAGACCTGTCAAGCGTTGTCCACCGGAACCGGTGAGAATTTAAGCAGCAAACTGCCGAACGTGGTCGAAGGCTCGATGGACTATGGTAGCGAGCGTAGATCGTCCCGGTACCTCGAGTACCACCAAGACGCAACCACCACCACCACCACCACCACCGCCGCCGCCCCTAAACCGTACCACCAGGACGGCCAGTCGGCCTCCTCCGGCCTGCCCCCCTACGAGCAACAGACCTACCACTCCGATCAGTCGGGCAGAGGGTACGGCAGGGGGGGCTACGGCAGGGAGGATATCGACCGATACGAGGAGAGAATTTATCCCGAGGACAACCTGAGGTACGATCGTCGAAGCGATCAGAGGACGGCGTACCAGGAGTCGGACTTGGACGCGGCTTACGAGAGGGGCGATGCCCAGAAGCTGAGCAGAACTTATCCAGGGGCCGAGGAGGCGGGGGGCGGCGGTAGGCGATACTCGAGAGATTTGACCGATTACGAGTACGCGTCCAGGTACGCGGAGGAGACGCTGAAGCTCGAGGCGAAGAAGGACCATCACCACCACCATCACCACCACCACCATCATCACTCGGGCAAGGTGTACGCGGACCCGACCCCGTCCAAGGGCTACGAGTCGGGGGTGAAGACGCACGATTCCGCTTACGAGTTGTCGTGCGCCTCGCAGCAGGATCTGCCGGGGAGGAAGTACGAGGGGAAGTACCACTCGGTGAGCAAAATGTACGGGACGCTGCCGAGGTACGAGACCGGTAAGTCGTACGAGGGTGGCACGAGATCGTACGAGTACGAGGAGGAGCACGAGGCGTACGAGAAACAGGGGACGACCCCCTACGATTCCAAGTACGAGTTGACCAGCTCCAAGAGCTACGAGAGGGCCAAGTACGAGGGGTCCTCGTCCTCGAGGACTTACCTGCACGACAAATCGTACGATCAGACGTTGAAGATCGGCGAGTTGGGGACCACCTCCTCGTCCGGTGGTTACGGGAGGAAGGCGCAGGATCAGGAGGAGACCGCCGCGGAGAAGATGAACGGTTACAGGAAGAACAATTTCGAGGCGTACGGCGTTTATTCGGACCCCGAGGACGATCACGGGTTCCTGGCCGAGAAAAAGACTCCCCAGTATCCGTACAAGGGCGTGGTGGTGAACGTCAGCGGGGAATCGAGCGTGATCGATCAGAAACGGGCGAAAGACGGAAGGCAGACCGAGGTCGTGGCCAATTCTTGGTGCAGGTTTACCATAGTGCTGCTCTTGTTGGTCCTCCTTATCGTTATCTTCGTATTCGTCGCTGGAATCGTCCTCTACCTGAACTGTGAGTCTTTTACTCCCTTTTCAAAGCGCGGGTCGATAATTTTCTCGGCTAGCCTCTCGATCGGAAATCAATCGACGTCACCAGCCAAGCGGTGACGATTCGTTCCCAAATATCCCTGAGATATCGATATTCAAAAGTTCAAAAGTTACAGATCGCGATCCCTTTTCTCTCCCTCTTCTCCTCTCCTTCCTTTCTCGCTTCGATTCGAAAGGGTCGTTCACTTAACGAGCATCCGATACAAATTATTTACGGTCGGCCGCGCGACCGCCATAATAATGGCAAGGACGAGCACGACGACGGCGACGTCGAGGCCGACGACACGTGCTGACGATACGTTAAGCCGGGGACCGGTTCTCCCAGCCAGTTTTATATATTCGGATCTGACATGCCCGGCACGTAGCGACTTGCCACTAGCGAAACCGTTCGGACGGAATTACAATGCGAACGGTAAATGGAAGAAGAGGGTTTAAAGAATAGAGGTGGACAAGAGTGACGTACACCTTGGGAATCCATTTTGTTCCACGGTGAACGCTCGGACGCGCGCTTCACGGGAAACCGTACGAGGGCGAAACGTATTTAATTTTCCTCCGGGCGCGGATCTTGTCGGCCTTTGAAACGCTTTTTGAACGCTTTCTTTGCAACGTTTCGCTTATTATCCGCGTGGATATCATTTGTGTATGTGTGTGTATATATATGTATTTTTTTTTTCGAACCCTTCGAGGCAATTGTCGCTCTTCCCTGGGGAAATATAAGCTGACCAATTTTGGGAGCATTCGATTCACGATTCGATTAAAAGCGCATAGAGGACAATATGGTGCCGATAATATATAATTTAACATCGACCAATTAGTGCAACCAATAATTAATAACTTCTTGGTTGCTCGTGAAAATAAACGTATACGCAACATAACAAAATTCAATTTCGATTATTAATTGTCTAAATTGTATTTTCGACGGGAATTAATCGCCGAAAACGCTATCCCTATTAGGTCATAGATTAAAATTTAACGCTTGTTTTTCGATCGCTTAATCGAGATAGTCTACACGAATCTCCTGTACAGCTTGTTACCACGTTCGTTTTTTTCTCTTCTAATCCCTCTCGAAACGTGAAAACGTGAAAAAAAATCGATACTCGTTAAAATCTTCCCCTTACGAAGACTAGCGATGGAAAAAAAAAAATCGTGGAAACCGCGATGGCGGAAACTCTCTCGATCCATTCGTCACGCGTCGCACGCCTCGCTCTCCGCGCGCGGCCATTCGTTAAAAAATCTCTTCTTCCTCCCTGTTTTCGAGACCCCCTCGTCCCTCTTCATCCCGGCTCCTCGACTCGATTCGACCAACGCCGATCGCGAACAAAGGATGGCGCAGAGTCGGAAAAGAGCGTCAGCAGAGTTTCGCGAGTCGCGCGCACAGCCATCCCCAACGATTCCCCTCCGATTTCCGGCGCCGGGTATCGGGTCGTACTTTGCTCGAAACGACGAACAAACAAGGGATGAAATAGCAAAGTCGAAGAGAGAGAGAGAGAGAGAGAGAGAGAGATAAAGAGAGAGGTGGGCTCGGATCTCCCCGACTATTCCGAGTGGCTGCGTTTGGCAGCGGGCGAAAGGCCCGTTTCACCGATTCGCTTTATTTTCGGCTCGACTTTTCGCCCGACCGGCTCGCAATCAGCCCCTCCATTGTCCCCGGGGACAATACATTTACCACGAGGAACGGCCTACCCATTCCTCCACCCACCCTCCCTTCCTCTCCGTGTCCCGAAATTTTCGAAAATTCGAGCCGATCGTTTCTCTTTTTCGTGCCGCCGGTTATTACATCGAACGATTCCCCATTCTCGAGTAGAAAATTCCGCGATAATTGGGAATAATTGTCGTTGAAAATTCGCGTCGTTCACGAATCATTTGGTCGATAGAATCGCGATTCCGAAAATCTATGCTATTTTTGAAATCGCGAAATGGTTAATGGGAAGGGAGAGAGGGAGGGGGACGAAGAATCGATTCGTCGGTGGAGAAGGACGTTGCACGGACATTGACGAATCGCAAGGGAGATGTATCATGCGTGGTTGAACGCGAGGAAGATTTGTGTTACGAGCCCGATAGCCCGGCCGCGGATAGCCGATACCGTTATATGACGCGATATAAATTTTATCACACCCTTTCGCAACCCCCCTCCTCCTCCTCCTCTTCTACTATCCCCCTCCGACGAGCTCTACGAGCTTCGGGACAGAGTTGTCGAGTTTCAACGCGTCAATTTTGATTTCACGTTCGAAATTCGAGAATTAATCGATCCGCACGATACGCGGAGATAAATTTCTCTTCACTCGGTCAATCAATTTCCAACTCGCCGACCATTTATCTAAAAGACGCACCTATCCCATCCAACTCCGTCAATAGTCCTCCTTCCTCCATCGAGTGGTTCTATTCTCTAAGAAGATACCTTATCCCTCCCCCCCTTCCTTAAGAGGATCTTAACTCGCGAGCGTCGATCAACAAGCTGCCTCCTGTGTTTACGAACATCCTAAATTCGAGTTCGTTTCGACGAAGAAAAGTTCGATCTCTCTTTACTCGTGGATGGAGCGTGGAAATTAGAGACGCTTGGTATACACGTGTATATATACGACGACAGGAGGCGAGGCAGGTATGGAGGAGCTTTGGCGCAGGATGAGGATTCAGTATGTAAGGCACGTGTTCGCATCCTCCTTTAGCGTTTCCCGCGATTTCGTCCTCGTTCTCGGCGCGCGCCAAGGGTTTCTCGAGGCTCTGGTGGGCTCATGGGTTTTCGCAGGATTAAGGGCGTCGCCGATCGTATTAAGGCCGGAGATATCTCATCTGCTCGTTATCCGGCTGTGCGTTTGTTCCACGTAAATTACGTGAAATTTGCCCGGGTGAACGTGGATGTGCGGCCAAGGATCGTCAAGCTTGCTGTGTCGACGACGGTTCACGGAGGGGACCGATTTTAACCGGTTGGATCGCAGAGGTTTCCTCGAAACCACGTTCTAATCGCTTCTCCTTAATTCCTCGAAACTTTGAACCGAGACGCTTTCCTTCTTTCTTTCCTTTCCTTTTCTTTTTCTCTTTCTTCCTCTCTCGATCAATTTTCAAGGCCTCGTCGTTCGACCAGGATCCAGTTAATAGTAGTCTGTCAGATCTGATGACATTTGTGTATCTTGAAGATGTGTATCTGAAGAATGGCGAGGTAGATGAAAAGTCAGTTTTCTTAGGAAAATAATAATAGAATAGAATTTGTCAAGCGAAACTGTTCAAGAAGAATTTATATCGAAGAGTATATATATTATTATAGCTCGATCGATCGAGTCCCCTTTATAACATGGCTGAAACGATACACAGACCCGCAGTTTACCCCAAGTTTCTCAAATTCGATTCCATACCGTTAGCTTATATCGGATTCTAAATTCAACGGAATACACACAGATGGACATATCTTGGAGATGATACTTGGAAATCTGCTTCTGATATAATTATTATTTACCGATCCCCTCCAATTTTCGAACAGCTGTTGATTCTCTCACCCTGCTTGAAGGAAAGATGTGTATTCGCTGCCCCTCGCGACACAACCGAGGAAAATACCGATGGAGAATGGGATGGAGAAACACAGGACGAAATTGGATATCCTGGCCGCGGGTAAATTGGGGCTGTTTCGCGCCTTGTCGAGCCTTGTGGGAAGAAGCCATCGCTCGTGTAGCCATCGTGAAATTTCACTCTCCTCGCGATAAACGTTTCCGCAACCGCTCGTAATTGCACGGCCATGAAGTGTTCTCGTGGTAAAAGGGGAAAAGTCGCGACAGTTCAAAGTGGCGCGAAATTCGAGCTACGGCGAGGCACGAGGGGAGAGAGGGGGGATCAGCGTAGCGGATGATAACGGTCTCGTTGAATTTCCCGGCCCGAGGATTGACGGAACTCGGGAATTCGAGAATGGTCAAATTCAACCCTTTCCTTTGCCCTCCGTCTGATAAAATTTTTCGATCTCTTTAATCGGCCGAAAAAAAGGGAGTTTTTCCAGTCGCACTCGAGTTGATGAAACGTTGGAACATTCGGAGCGCGGTGTTGCACGATCGTTCGCAGGTTGAGAATTCTCGGGTGGGCAAACGATGCGCAATAACGTAACGCGATCTCTGTCGTATTCTTCCTTTCTCGTTTCATCTGTCTAAGTTTCTTATTGCGGTATCACAGGGGTACGAAGTTCCCGTACCCCTGGAATGGTTAAACTGGGAAACGATTCGGCGAAAATTCGCCGGCGAATACATAATATCGCCGCGACGATTCACGCCGGATTAAATCCATAGAGGCGTTCCCGCGAAACAGTGGAGTGCACGAGTCGTGTACGTGTCGGTTGTTGCAACAGTTACAGCGTATAAGGAAGGAAGGACGATGGAGAACTTGTTGCCAGCTGGGAACTCGTTTCTTCTATCGAGTTCGAATTTGTTCTCGCGTATTTAATCCACCTGTTCTCGATTATCTTCGAGACTTCATTGAAATCTCTTTTTTTCTTATTCGTCATTTCATTTCCTCAGATCCTCTCCTCGAATCGCTTCCAATTTCGATCCCCTCGAGTTGAGAGAATATTCGTTCAGCTAAATATAAAATTATTCTAGGAACGTGGGCAAAACTAGCTTTCCTCGGTCGGTCGGCGAGGATCAGTGATTTCGATCCCGACAAAGAAGAGGGGAAGAGGAGAAACGAGAGAGCCAATAGGGAAAAAGGTCGCGGCAATCGGCGGCGATCGGGATTGTTCGCAAGTTACCGAGTTCGAGTCAAGATTAATGTTAACTTCGCCCTAGGAGTTAATAAGTCCCGAGACCGATAAATCCCGCTAACTCCTCGTCTCTCCTTCTTTCCTCTCCCCTCCTCTCATTCTTCTCGTGCCTGTACCCTCCTCCCTCCTTCCCGCTGCTCCATTACGGTCCCTCTCGTTCGCCCCCTCCCCTCCGCTTTCGCACCGTAGCCGAACCTCGGTCGCAGAGCTTTGAGAAACTCTGCGAAAAC